CTTCTTTGAGGGCACAGAGTTGCATCCACATTTCCCATTAAACAAAGACAAGTGCTTAGGTACAATCAGCAAAATAAAAGCAGTTATTTGCACAGTATTCCCATGAATCTACACACATTTTAACTGTATTGAAATATTCTGCATTTCACATCTTTTTAATTGTTATTAATATTTTTTATTTAGGTATATAAATATAGTTGGTATACAATCTTATATTGGTTATATTCGTTTCAGGAATACGATACAGTGACTTGACATTTGTATACCTTTCAATGTGATCACCCCACTAATTCTAGTAATTATCTGTCACTGTGCAAACTTATCACAATGTAATTGACTGTACTCCCCTTCCCCTCTTCACCTATCCTCACCCTCTCCCTCTGGTAACCATCCCTTTTGTCTGTGTTCTGAGTCTGTTTTTGTTTTGTTTTTGGGTTCCACATATAAGTGAAAGCATACAGTATTTGTCTTTCTCTGCCTGACTTATTTCACTTAGCATATTTCCCTCTAGATCCATCCATGTCGTCCCAAGTGGCAAGATTTCATTGTTTTTTACAACTGCATAAAATTCCATTGTGTGAAATATACAGATATATCACATCTTCTTTATCCATTCATCTCTTGATGGTCACCTTGGTTGCTTTCATATCTTGGCTATTGCAAATAATGCTGCAATGAGCATAAGGGTGCTTATATCTTTTCAAATTAGTGTTTTCATTTTCTTTGGATAAACACCCAGAAGTAGAATTGCTGGGTTGTATGGTATATCCATTTTCAGTTTTTTGAGGAATCGCCATACTGTTTTCCATAGAGGCTGCAACAGTTTGCAGTCCTACCAACAGTGTACAAATGTTCCCTTTTCTCCTCATCTTTGTCAACACATGTTGTTTGTTGACGTTTTGATAATTGCCATTCCGACAGGTGTGAGGTGATATCTCATTGTGGTTTAGATTTGCATTTCCCTGATGATTAGTGATGCTGAGCATCTTTATGTATGTCTGTTGGCCATCCCATTTTCAATGTCCCTCTTCTATTTGTCGTGATTTTATATTTTTCATGGAAAAATTGCCTTATGGGCAAAATGTTTATGGCAAAGTTGCTTAAGGTGAAAATACCAGACATAGTCTTCTAGATTGCAGATGGCTGTATTCTAGTTGTATACTCACATGGCAGAAGGGCAGGGGAGCTCTCTGGGGCCCCTTGTGTAGGGCACTCATCCCATTCATGGGGGCTCTACCCTCATGACCTAATCACCTCCATAAGGTCCCACCTTCTAATACCATTACATTGGGGGTAAATATTTCAACATATGAATTTTGGAGGGACATAAACATTTTAGTCCATAGCACCGTATTTTATCTGCACATAATTATTGAAGTGAAGTTTTGTGTGTTTGTGTTTTTAAACAGTTTATCCTCATCTAAAAAAATGATACTTCCACATCAATGACGCACACCAAAAGTAGGAGAACACTTCTTGAGAATATGCAATCTGCTAATAAATAAGGAAGTTTCAAATGTTAGGTGAGTTAGCTATAAAGAAAAATTCCATTAAACAAAATGCAGAGAGCATCTACTAAAATATAAGAACCTACCTGTTAACTATAGGCAGTATAATGCTCTTTGTTAAACAAAATATAAATTACTGTGGAAAAAAATGCTTTCTTCTCCTATATACTTTTTCCCCAACCTCCCACATCCTTTTTTCATGCTATAGCAGATATACTTCAATCTTAAAAAATAATATGTTATAATTGATATATAGGTCCTTAACAACATTATTAAACTACCATTTATTTACTGCTTATCATGTGCCAGGCATGTTGCTATATGCCTTTTATATACTAGTGGTTCTCCAGCCTGGATGTAATTAGAATCACCTGGAAACTTGTCCTAAAAAAAAAAAAAGGTGCCCCTCATATGCATTTGAGGATTGAGAAACACTGATACATCCCATCTCATTAGAGATAGAAAGGTAGGCACTGTCATTACACTCATTTTTCAGATGAGAACACTGAGATACAGAGTCTAGCTAACTTGCCAAAGGTAACACGTTAAGTGGCTGAGTTGCAGTCTTATCCCAAAGAAGCTGGGTTAGGTACTGCTGTTTATTTAATAGATATGCTATTTGTCATCATGATGATAAATGAACAAAGATAGGGCCTAGATTAAACAGCCATTTTTCAATTAAATCTATGTAGCTAATATATTAAAAATTAGTTCCCAGCCCCCACCCAAAAGTCTTTAAGTCTATGTTTTAGAAACAGTTTGCATTTCCATTCCTCCTCTTCCAAATAGCATTGTAGAGCAAATATATATGTTAACATGGCTTCTTTTTTACCATTTAATTTTTTTAATTGAGGTAAAATTCATCTAACATAAAATTCTTCATTTCAACCATTTTAAAGTATACAACTCAGTGGCTTTTAGTACATTTATAATATTGGGCAACCATCACCACTATCTAATTCTAGAACATTTTCATTGGCCCCAAAAGAAACTCCATGCCTAATTAAGCCATTTCTTCATTCTCCTCCCTCTCCCAGCCCCAGGCAAATAATAGTCTGCTTTATGTCTCCATGGATTGGCCTATTCTGGACATTTCTTTCACATGAATGGAATCAAATAATATGTGGCCTTTTGTGTCTGGCTTTTTTCACTTAGCATAATGTCTTCAGAGTTCACCTATGATGTAGCAGGTATTAGTAATGCATTTCTTTTTATGGCTAAATAATATTCCACAATTATGGATGTACCACATTTTGTTTATCCATTTTCAGTTGATGTAAATTTAGGTTGTTTCCACTTGGGGGCTATTATAAATAATACTGCTATGAATATTGGTGTACAAGTTTTTGTTTGAATAATATGATATTTTTAAGAATAACTTTTCTCATCCATACTTCAATATTCATTCCAAGCAGGCCAGGCAGTTAGAATGGAACCATTTTATTAATTCATTGAATTCTATTTCTCAACTTACCTTTAACATTCTAAGTTAAACTATTGTCTGTTTTACAAAATAAAATGATGCTTGAAAACAGCTTTTTTCAAATGATCCTATTTCCATTTAGAGAGAAAGGCTACATTTAACTTGGGACTTTTACTCTTAGTTTCTTTCACAACCACCCATCAACTTCCCTTCAGCTGTCAATTCTGTGTGTCCTTGAGTGAGTCACTTCCTCCCTCTGTTCATTCATTTACTTTACCAGTAACCAAATACCACATTTTAAGTTTCAGGAACTAGGCTCAATGGGGATATAGCATGTACAACACAGACACAGGCCCTGCACTCATAGAATTCATACTCTAATGGGAGACAGACACTGAAGTCTTAATTATACACATAGCTATTTAGTTATAACTACAGTAAGTGTTAGGAAGAGAAGCTGAGGATGCTATGAAAGTGCATAATAGATGGAACTCCCCTATGCCTCAGTTTCCTTACCTCAGTATCACAAAGAGACAAAGTGAGATTATTAGGAATGTTAAATAGAGTAACTTCACTGACAAGCCTACCGCCATCATGGGTCACTGCCCCTGTGGTGATATTGCCCCCACATTATATGCTTTCCAATAACCCAAAGCCTGAAAACCCACTGCAAAAATTCATGGTTTGGAGTCTTAAAAGTATTTCTGGTTTCAAAAATATCTACTTAAGAAAACTTCTGCAGGTACTTGCTGTTAGCAGATTTATTCTTTTTTTTTTTAAGCTGAGCCATCCTGCCACTTGTTGGCAGCTCAGAGGCAGCTCCGCTTGGGCGGGGTATCGAACTGCTGTTGCTCAGAGCTCACACTCTCGTGCAAGCTCCTAACCAACTGAGCCACTCAGCTGGCCCTAGCAGATTTATTCTTAAGGACAGCTAAATAAGAATGATGTAACAAAAGGGCAGTTTCAAGTAGTGACCCATATAATCAGAAATGAATATGCGTGTGTAGTTGCATGGTTTTTAATTGCTAAAATGATTATGTATAAACCCTGTAAAGTACCTAAAAATCCAAACTTCAACAGCATTATAAAAATGTTGCAAAATCAACTTATTTACTTTAGCTTAAAAAAATAGTCTTTGAGAACTTTTTATCAAGTTAATAAAAATATCGTAATTTAAGATGCTAAATCAGACCGTTTCCAAGAACAGGAGCCTTCATCTCTACAGAGTATACCTCAATCCTGACTCTAAGTTTGCATCTCGGCTTTAATGTCATTGGTTTCTTTAAGAGAATGTATTTTCACAGACCCACATAGACCGAAATATTGTCCTGAGTTTGACCACATCATTAGAAATCTTGAGTTTCCTCCAAGGTTCATATTTGCCCCAGTTCTAAGGGATGTATCACGTTTCCTGGTGGACCCAGTGCTCATTCTGCTCATCAGTTCCTTGGGAAATAGCCACACTGCTGGGACAGATGGTTGGCGATTCCTGTTTCCCCATGTTGATGCTCCAAGAATAGCTGTAGAGACTCAAAGTATGAGCAACATGACCTGTGAATTGGCTCCAAAACTGCAAGTTCATTTCTGTCCCTAAATTATGCAACTTTTTAAAAAATCTGTCACTTCTCAGGCTCAGGGCATTCCTGCAATGGGAAATAACTGGCACCCCAAGGTACCACCAATTTAACCAACACACCTATAGTTTAAATTGATAAGACCATACTTCAGAAATAAATACACTGTACTCTATTTTTTCCTTTTAGTTTCAAATTCAATTTGTCCATTAGTACGGCTCATCAATAAACATATGCATGGAATTCTAAAAGCTTTTGTTTCTTGGAGCCCTTTAAAAAATAGGTCTCCTTGCGGCCCATCCCCTCCCAGCGTTCTGAATTTCTCCCTCCCCCGCCGAGCCTGCTGCGCTCCGGGGGGCCGCGGGGCGTGCCTCCGAGGCGCAGCCCCTTTCTCAGCGCTTCGAGGACTCGGATCAGGCGCTGTCCTTTCTCCTTTCCTCCCCGCGTTGGGATCCAGTTGCGGCCCGGTGGTTGCATCCCCGTTGGGAGGCCGCTGGTCGGATTCAAGATGACCAACGAGGAACCTCTTCCCAAAAAGGTTCGACTGAGTGAAACAGACTTCAAAGTTATGGCACGAGATGAATTAATTCTAAGGTGGAAACAGTATGAAGCATATGGGCAAGCTTTGGAGGGCAAGTACACAGATCTTAACTCTAATGATGTAACTGGCTTAAGGGAGTCAGAAGAAAAACTAAAGCAACAACAGCAAAAGCCTGCACGCAGGGAAAACATCCTTGTAATGCGACTAGCAACCAAGGAGCAAGACATGCAAGAGTGTACTACTCAAATCCAGTACCTCAAGCAAGTCCAGCAGCCTAGTGTGGCACAACTGAGATCAACAATGGTAGACCCAGCCATCAACTTGTTTTTCCTAAAAATGAAAGGTGAACTGGAACAGACTAAAGACAAACTGGAACAAGCCCAAAATGAACTGAGTGCCTGGAAGTTTACGCCTGATAGGTAAACAAATCATACTCCCCAGTCAAGACTTCCCTGACAGTCCCACTACGAGAAAGCTGTGGTGGGACAGCCAAGTACTCGTTTCCACACCAAGACTCAGACTTTTTGAGCCAAAAAAAGCCACATTCTTATACTATCCAGCTTGTAATGGTTAATGTAAAACTTAACAGATGAACCTTGTGTTTCAGCTTTTTTCTCTTCCCCTTCCCTTGGCTCAGGGGCCTTGATGCGTTCAGATATTTCGAAGGAATGGGCAACCCCCAAAAATTTCCCTTCTAGAACATGTAGACACTTGAGAAATGTTTCTGTTTGAAGAAAATAGAGGGAGAAACAGAAGTCTTAAGTCTGTGGCACACTGTGTCTTCAGACAGTTTGGAGGAATGAAAACCTAGAGATATAAAATCACGAATTGAACATGTAAAATTCCATTAAAATGTAAAAATGGAATGCATCGCTCTTAACCTTGAGCATAGTGACTTAGAGACACTGTATATATCAGTTTTGCCAATAAGACTGTGGACTTGTGATTGTTGTTGAACTTCTGGGTCAAAACTCAAATGAGGTGAATTTTGCCTTTAAAGGATTTATTTCCCAAGAAACAACTTTAATAGCTATTAGAGAATCAACTAATAGATGTCAGTATAAGTAGTTCATATATTTAACCATTTAGTTTGGGGCTCTGTATTACTTGATGGAGCTTTAAATCAATGTGGTTTTAATCAATGGTTTGTTCTCTGAATGGTTGCAAATACTGTAGATAATCTTATTGAGGACTGTACAACATGAAGGTGTGGTATCAAACTTGAGGTTTTAAACTGTTTGAAGCATTATAAACATTCATTTCACAACTAGATTGTATATGGATATTGGCTGTGATGAGACTCACTGCGTTATTATTTTTAGTAGTGAAATTTATTAAATCCGCATTCCATTCAACAGGCACATGTTGAAAGAGAATTGTCATTGGTGTTAATGGGGGAATGTGTTCCTTCATTGTATTTGGGCCTTTTGTATCGCACTCTTGATATTAAATTAAATGTGCCTTGAAATTAAAAAAAAAAATAGGTCTCCCTCACTTCATAGACAGTGTAGAGGCCTGACCACCACACTGTATTTCTGAAGCTGATGTTGAATAATATTGTATGTCAATTATAATTATATATACATATAGTTACGGGATGTGGAGTAGAGAGTGGGAATGGAGTCAATGGAATTGTAATAGATAAGTATGACATCGGGGGTGGGAGGGCAGTGGATGGGGGGAGGGGGTTGTTACTTTGTGAAGGGTGTAAAGGATAACTATTGCATGGTTCTGTTCACCTGAAACTAATAATAATAAAAATAATAATAAAAAAAATTTAAAAATAGTTCTCCCTGACCTGATCCTATGGCCACACTAAACAACATGAGTGTCTACACTTGGCGTCTGTTTTCCTGGACCCATCAACTGTCACTGGTTAACAGCATGAACCTGAAGAATATTGAAAGTTTGGTCACCTCTTTGTTCACGTCATGCAACACACTTGAGCGTTCCCTGCCTACACACTCCTGATTTTCCTCATAGAAAATGCCCTGGAAATCTATCTGTTCTTTAGTCTTGAATTAACTGGTTAATTTTTTCTCTATTTATTATGTGGCACATGATCTTTGGCAAGTGGACCAGTTCTTTCAAGTTTAGACTCAATTTTTTAAAACTCCTCAAAAAGTCCTCACAATTACTGTGTGCTAATGAATTTGGTGATTTTCCCCCTAAAAACATCAGGTCAGTCACATTCAACCCACTTGCATCTAGAACTTCCCCATTATTGCAGCACTGGTGTCAGTTTGGAGTCAAACAGAAATGAGATTGAATTCCAGCTTTTCCATTTGTTACTTGAGTTACCTGGAGAAATTATTTTTATCTGTATAAGACTCAGTTTTCGCTCCTTAAATTGGGACTGTAATTTCTCCTCCATTGGGCTATTGGGAAGATTAAGTGAATTATTCAAGTTTAATAAATGTTTGTTGCAAACTTTTAGGGTTAACTCTTTTAAGCCATTATCAATTAACAATTTTTAAGTATTTATTAATTGTCAGTTATATGGGTGTCTGGCACTGGGAGGAAAGGGGTGTAGTTGTGTATATGTGTGTCATTTATTGGTTTTCATGTATCCATTCCCCCTTCCTAACAGCACCTGGATTCCCTTTGGTAGAGTTGCTTCTTTGGTATTGTGTGGGACGTGGGTGGGTTGCTAAATCCAGGTGTCCATCTCCCACTCAGGATCTAAAGAGGCCAGAGTCTGCCTCTCTATGGCCCAGGCAGCCAGAGGCTGGGCTGGTGATAAAAGTCACTGTGATCAAGCAGATGCTGTATTGGAGAATTTGAATTCTGAGCATGGGCAAAAGAGGTGGCTGAATTTACCCATTTCTCGCGGTAATGAATTTTTTCCTGATGCAACTGAAACTATAGGTTTTCTATTTATATCCCAGGACACAGTGTTGGACCCACACCATCAAAAAAGAAAAAAAAAGTAAAAAAATTATTGTGCTTAGAACTGCCTGAAGCTATCTCTGAAACAATCATTGTAACAAGAAAGATGGGATTGTCTTTATTGATTCTGTCTAATCAAGATGCTTCTATGAAGGTGGGGGCAGAGTACTTGTCAACCAAGTCACAAGACTATTCATAATGGGGAAAGGATAGGATAATTGTTGGGGAACTCCCACAATGTCTACTATGGTACATCTTGGGCTGTGCAACATGCACAAAGACTGTCCTTTCCATCCAAACACTTTTGAAAGTGTTCATGATGCTTAAATACTATCACTTGCTTCCCAAAATAAGACAATCTACACGCTTGTCCAGCCAGTACCTTAAGCTTCCAGGTCACACATCTCTAAATGATGTGCCATCTATTCCATCAGTCCAGCTGTGACTCCAAAGGGTTCAGGGACCTTGGGCTGAATGATGAACTGTCCATCCTCAACACACACAATGTGCAATGTGTAAAGTGGTGCAGAAGGAGAATAACAAGAACTCCCATTTTGGGGAGGGGGGAAGATACTAGGAAACAATACCATTGGTCACTAGCTCACAGCACATATTGAACCCTGCAAGGACTCCCTGCTTGGCCAGTGAAGAGATTGCTGAAGTCACCTAAACTTGAGACTCCTGAATCTGTCATTCAATCGGAGCTCCCTTGACCCTCATCTGCTATGACCACAACAAAAATAGGCATAAGGGAGAATATTCATTTCAAAAGCAGTACCATGTTAGCAGCTTATTTCTTATTGGTTCTATTTCTGGGGCCTGCAGAAGACCTAAAAGCAGTCACCAGCTGTTGCTAGCCAGGTTTGGGATTTCTTTGGCAATATGGCTCTCTTAAAAACTAGTAGACCTCTGTATTTTTGCTTCCAGTCACTTCTATGGCTCTGCAGCCAAAACCAGAGGTTGCACTTCAAGTCTGGGAGGCCCGTCTCCTGATACTAGCCCTCTGAATTCTGCTACTTGCCCTAGACCAGGTTTAATGGCATCACCCACTGTAGAGTCATAGTGACCTCGAAAGAACCTTAAACCATACAGACAGTGGAAGTCAAAGGGCCAGGGGCCACACTTGACCATGTTACCTAGGTCAGCTCTACTCATTGCTTTTGTTTCTTTACAATGACATGCAAAGGCCTGGCACCCATGGAATGAGTAGGATGGAACGAGGCTAAAGGGAAAGGTAGACTAAGAGGCTGGGAGTATCCTCTTCTATCAGCCAGTTTGTGGGATCACCTTAGTCACTACAGTTGGTTTATTTTTCTATCCTGTACATGCATATTTGGGGAATGCCTGCTATAACAATGTGGTCCAATAAAGCATATAGGACCAAGCACTAAATGAAAATGACTGTAGTTCAATACACCCACAAATCTATATGGCAAAAATAACTCAAGAATCCTTCAATCTCTGGAAAAAAAATTGCTCTTACAAAGTCTCCTCAAGAACAAAGTTTTCTGTACTTTCAATGTGTTCTCCTTGAGTCTCTAGAGGGACTTCGGGAAGCCAGGAATGCATGTTTTTAAAATGTTGTTAATATCTGGTGCTTGGGATGAGCAAGCAATGGGTCCAGGGATCGTTGGAGGGACTGTGTATTCTAAATGTTAATATTACTTGGGAAGATTACTTTGTGCAGGTCGTAGAAAAGAGAACAAATCACAGTTTGCCTTTTGGAGAAAGGAGGATAAGAGAAGATATGTCTTGTGTATCTGTAATTAATGGGGTTTACAAATGACTCAATCTGCTTCCCACCTGAGTCCAGGGCTTGGGAAGCACAGTGATAAATGACCAAGAGGATGATTTTAGCCAAAGGTAACTCTGCAGCACAACACAGAGGCTTATTATTACTTTTTTAAAAATCTGCAAAGAATTTAACATGTGTGACTTCTTGGCAGATGGGAGAAAGCGGTCCTGAGCAATGAGCATATCCATTACTTTCCTATCATTAAAGCTCTAGGCATCATTCCCTGGTGATGAAGCACCTCTGCCATGATTAAGATTGTAGAATTATTAACTCCCCCCACCCACCGCCCCCGAGTCACAAAGATGACTTAGAAAGGAGCCTGTGGAGAGTTGTCTAACCAGGTACTTCACAGAGGAAGAGCTATCCAGCCGTGTACACACTTACCCAGCCTTGACCCCCTTGGAACGAGCATCACTTCTTCATTAAACAAATGCTTTCACTTTCTTATCCATTTGCTTTCCAAAATGCTTTCCATGTACTTTTAACTTGTTTTTATGTTTCATGAAAGAAACACACACACACACACACACACACACACACACACACACACGGGGGCGGGGAGAAAGAGAGAGAGTTAAAAGGCATGCATGGTTCTGTAAGACAATCATCATGATTGCTCTTCCAGTATTTACACCCCCATTACCAAAAAACATATTTACAATATTTCTTCTTGATCTTCCCATTTTAGACATTATTTATTCACTTCACACTCTCTAACTGCCTCCCTCCTCCCTTCTCACCCATGAGCCTTTTCCATCTCCCAACACTCCCAACAGAGCTGTAGAGCTACCCCATAATTTTGGTTGGAACAGTTTTAACATTGACATTATTATAACTGCAAAACTTCTGGGCCTTGATTTCTTTTCTTGCATAGCTGTCTAACCCCAAGGGAATTAATAACTCTGTGTGTGTGTGTGTGTGTGTGTGTGTGTGTGTGCGTGTGCACACTCAGTTTTTTATGTACTTACCACTGAATCAACTCCAAACTCTCCCCAGGAGTCAATCTCTCACAAAACATTCAAGCATAGCACACAGTCTCTCAATTTCATCTTCTTGGAAACATTTCTCCCTGCATATTCTGATCTGCTCCACCTCTCAACTGTCCACTACAACTGGTGTCTAGTTTTCCTCTGGAATTTCCCTCCATGGCAACTCTGGAAGTTTCCTTTACCTTGGTCTCATGTTGGTCTTGTTTCCTGGGTCCCATATCTTCTATATTGGTTTACTACCTCATTTTAGTGTTATACCATCTTGAGTGATTTCCTAGAAAATTGATATATAAGAGGAAAATTGAGGTCTTGCCATCCAAAAATGTCTTGATCCTACCTTCATTTTTGATCAATGGTTCATCTGGATATATAATTTCAGGGTTGAAATCATTTTCCCTCTGAACTTCGGAGGTATCTCTCCATTTTCTGCTAGTTTCTGATGTAACAATTGAGGATTCTGATGCCAATCTGATTTTTTTTTAAGATTTTTTTAAATTGGGGAATTGGGGGAGGGGAACAGCATTGGGGAATCAGGGAAGGAGAACAGACATGTTGCTGTCCTTTTATTCTTCAGTCTAGTTGTGGAGAACGTTGCTTCACTGGCCCATGTTGGTATTCTCATAGCACTCTTCCTGGGTGAGGCAGTTGCTCGCTGGCCATTGGATGGCCACTCACAGCAGCTCACGGCAGCTCACAAAAGCTCACACCTGCTGCCAGCTAGCCCCATTGCAGCCTACACCGTCACCAGCAACTCACAGCAGCCCAGCTCCAGGTTGAGTTGTTGTTCACC